CCTGGAGGATCCTGCTCCACGTGGAAGTGGACTTCTCCATTCCGGTTAAGCAGGGGCGGAGGTGCCCTCGTACGAGTACGAGTACTCGGCGCCTCCCGAAAGCCACTCTCGTCCGAGTGCTTCTCCTGCGGGAGTAGGGGCTACGGTCGGGAGCGCTGTGATGACGGGTGCCTCCGTTCGAAGAGCTGGGGTGGGCTCGGGAGTAGTCTGCTCCGTCACCTCGGTGGACTTGGAGCTGTGGCCACTGAGAGTGAGCCACAGCACGACGATGACGGCCGCGATAACCACGACAGCGCCAGTGATGCCGACGATACGCTTGCGCTTCTGGGCATCCGAGGCGTACTGCTCGCCACGCAAGGGGGTCGTTTCTGTGGGCATTTTGTGTGGGGTAGATACTACTGTGCAAAACTCAGATTCGCTATGCACTCCGCGGCGACAATCGAGAAATGAGCTCTTAACTTAAGCTGACTTAAGAGTCTTAAGTCAGCCGCGCGAGAAGCTTCCATGGCAGAGGAGTGGCATTGGTCATTACCCAATGCCATTGGGCCAATGGGCAAATCAAAGGCGCTGACAGCGCGGTGTAAGCGGACCACGCAAATATAGAAGCCTGTGGGTGGCCTTCCTGGCTTGCTGCTTGGTCTGCTGCGTCGAACCAAGATTTGATTGTCAACGCAACATTTGTATGGGCTTGTTTCTGAAGCCATTTACTTTAAGTATGGGCACTGCCGCGGTTGTGGCGACAGCGCGTTGACACAGCGCAACAGACTCGTTTTTTTTTTCATCTGTACATGTATCATAGCCGAGGGACAACCTGAGACTGAGTTGTGGGCTACATTGTGGACACAATCGCAAGTTCCTAGAATGCGCAATGCTTCCGCACCTCATGCGATACGGAGTTGGCCAACGTGTACGTCACCAAGTTAGCTGGTAGCCTGCTACATGTACAGTACATCATGTAGCCTACATGTACTTACTGTAGAACTAAATCAGAAGTACATTGTAGTGGAGCCGGAGGAAGCTTATTTTGGCATTTTGATGCAGTGCAATATTAAGGCGATTTGCAAGCCACCTGATTCACTCTGCCGCGTCAGTGGTTCATAATTGAGCCATGGTATCCGTTGTAATCAGGCGTATCTTACGACTCGTAACTTATCGGTACAATAGTTCACCTCAACACAAATGGGCAATTCATTTGACTTCGATTGTCAATTGCCTACAGCTCTTTACTGCGCAGGAACCGGTTGATCATCTCCAGTGTCACTTCCGGTTGGTCCATGAGCGCCATGTGGCCAGCGTTAAACACTCGCAGGAACGTCAACCGCTTAGCGTACGTCCAAACGCTTCCGACGTCTCTCGCATCGACCTCAAACGCGTGTTCTTCAGTCTCCTGGAACTCCGTCTGATGAGGCCACGTCAACGCTCTCGTCCACGCCAGTCCGCCGTACCAATTGCACACCAGATCGGCGTCGCCATGGTAGATCAACACTCGGATGGAGCTGTCACGCAGCAAAGCCTCAACGTCCTGCTCGAACGTCTTCATTAGATCCGCAGCAAACGCCAGCTCCACATCCGCTGACGCTGACTGCCACGGCGCCGGGTGTACACTCGCTACGTTCAAGTATGAGCGTACAGCGTCCGAGTTCAAATACGCCCGTTATTCGCTTGACCATATCTCCGTAACAGTAGATCGGGTCCAGTTCAGTGCATTCCTGACGGATATCCATCATGTTGCGACCCGCGCCAATGTACGCGCCCATTACATTAACCTCACAGAACTCACCAGCGTCGATGCATACGCTCGAGTTGGTTTGACACGCTCTCACGAGCGCTGTGCATTGTTTCTCTGCCACCTTCGCCTTCGCCAGCGTGTCGTCGTCTATCAACTTCACGTTGTACGCGTTGTCGACCATGTCCAAGCCGTGCTCGCTCTAGTACATACAGCACAAGTAAAGTCAAATATTTCATTTCTACTTATTAAATTCGATAATCACCTACCTGCACGACGGTGTTGACCAGACCGTTGCCGATAACGATACCTTGAAGATTCAAACGTCTCTTCTTGGTCGTCTTGTTCTCCCGGTAGATATTGTGTGCCGCGGCCGGGACGTAATGACCAGCATAGCTCTCACCAGCGAGGAACAACGAACGGTCTTTGAACTCGGGGTGTTTGTCCATAAAACCTTGTAAGAACCAAAAAATATTCTCCTGGACGTCGTTCTCATTATTGTCGACGTCCGCCGGAGTGCCGATCGAGTACCCGACGCTGGTGGGCTGATCCAGCCAGATGACATTGGCCTCAGTATTCCACGAATGGGGGTTGATCGTAGTGGACAAGTCTTCGTTGACGAAGCACGGACCGTTCTCGGTTAATAGCGTCAGGAGACTAGAGACTCCAGGACCACCACTGAGCCAGAGGATAAGCGGGTCCGTTGCGGGCGCATTGCGAGACTCAAAGAACCAATAAAAGTACTGGTCGTCCTGCTTGTTGGGTAGCTTGATGTATCCCGCTTCATTGGCTGCGGTGCCACACGTCGTAGTCGTATCGTCAGCGTCCGTGATTGTAGCCAACGACGGCGTCTGGTTTGTGGTGGCAGCAAAGCCGAACACCACGACGACCACAAGTACCAAGGTTCCTAAGGCCACGATCTTAGCAATGCGCCTTTGGCGATACATCTCGGCCACTCGCACATCCGAATGCAACGGAGTCGACTCGTCCACCATGGCGTCGACTGGGCTTGGAAGATCTTCAAATGTGAGAAATTAGTGGAAACGAACTGTATTTGAATGTAGGAGATCGCACTGTCCCGTGTCAAAAATGACTGATAGGTGCTTGTATGCGAAGTGGTTTCTACAATGCCTTGTTGGTAAGGAACCTGCTGATGAGGTAATGAGACGGCGGGTTGGTTGATTGGCACCATGTGGCCAGCGTTGTACACACGGACAAACGCAAGATTCTCAAACGTCCAGACTTCACCTGCATCAATGGCGGGGCTATTGTTCGATATCAAGGGGTCGTGCGCGATGAATGTTCACTTTTCAGCAGTAAAGTAGCCATCCTTGCCTCGCCAGTCGAGCTCTAAAGTCCAGGCTCGATTGCCGATCCAATTGCACATCAGATCGGCGTCGCCGGCGTAGATGAGCACGCGGAGACCATCATTCAGCAGCTCCGCTGCGTATGCATCGTACGATGAAGCCCAGTCTCCATCGGCAATGAACCTCGTGCGAATGACTTCATTCTCTTCCACCCACGCCGGAGCGCGCTTATCCACGTTCAGAAACTTCCGAACTTTCGGAGAGTTTAAGAACTCCATGATGACAGGGAAGTCTCCACAGTTGCATCAGGGTCACTGTTGTTGCACGGCTCACGAATGTCGTAGTTGTTGCGATTCGCTTTGCTCAGAGGCTGTACCAGCTTCGTATCCCAGCAATCGACACCCAAGAGACAAAAAGTCTCATTCTTCGGTGGTATCAGGCACTCGCGTGTGAGTTCGATACACTCGACGCTATCATCCTTCATCTGCTCTACTTCAACGTCCGTCAGAAGGGTGATATTGTATCGGTTATCGTTCATATCTTGGTAGTGAGCGTATTAGATCAATGCATTCGTAAGACTGTTGCCGATGGCTAACCTTGTAAATTGATGACCGGATTCTCCTGGTTCTTTTTCCAAATGTAATGCGCTGCAGCGGGAACGTAGTGTCCCCCATAACTCTCACCCGTCAGGAACAACTCGCGGTTCTGGTACTGTGGGTGTTTGTTTAAGAATTCCTGTAAGAACCAGTAAATGTTCTCACCCACATTGGTTTCGTTGTAATCCGTGTCGGCAGGAGAGCCGAACGAGAAGCCTGTGTCGGTTGGTTGGTCCAGCCAGATCACGTTAGCGTTGCGGTTCCAGGATTCTGAAATTGTGGGTGTTTTTCCAAAATTCCCCTCAGAAACCAATAGATGTTTTCACCCACATTGGTTTCATTAAAATCTTTGTCAGCCGGAGAGCCAAAGGAATAACCCACACCTGTGGGTTGATCCAGCCAAATGACGTTCGTGGTGTTCCAAGAGAACGGGTTCAACTTGGTGCTTAGGTCGCCTTGGATGGTGCACGGGCCGTTCTCGGTCAATAGAGCGAACATGCTAGAAGAGCCGGGACCTCCGGTAAGCCACAATACCAATGGGTCCGTCTCGGGACTCGTGCGCGACTCGAAAAACCAGTAGAAGTAGTGATCGTCCTCCTTGTTCGTTAGCTTGATATGACCCGCGGAACTGTTGGTGACACCGCAGACAAAAGAGCCCTCGGGCGTTGAATCCGAGTGTCCGTGGTCTTGAATCAGCCACAACGCCAGCACCAGCAACGCTCCACCGAGTGTTAGCTTCAGGATAAGCGCTTTCT